GCAGAATTGAAGATCTCGAAATAAGTGACAAGATTTATTGTCTATAATCTAATCTAGCCTACTTTCATTCAATTTATATATTCACGTAAAAGAAGGATAATAAAAGACGCATTTTGACAGTCCTACTGATAATGATAATGTGCTGTCATAAACAGTTTCTGAAGCTGCATGAATACACTTTGAACTTTAAAGTTACCCGACAAATTTACGTATCTATATTTGATATCTATTCATATAAATCTGTCATGTCCATTCAACTGGCACAGTCCTCATGCGCAATTTCATGCCATATTCATTCTACTTAATTTAGTTCGTAGCCAAGATACAAGCATGATCACCTTGATTGATGGTCTCTCATTTCATTAGAATCAAAATGTTAGTTTCTATAGCTATCTGAAATCGATTGTCAATATGCTCAGTTTCAGATGGTTTATTGACGAATCATCAATTTGAATTGTTGACAGCAACGATTTTTAATAAATTTGTTTAAAGCGAAAGTCTCAAACTTGCAGTCACTCAGAAAAACGTACTCATATGATGACATAAAATTTCAAGAATGCTTTGACTGATCAAAATAAAATTTCTCTTGAACAGTTGAATCTTTGGTTTTTGCAGAAATTGCACATACACATACAAAAAATATCATTATTGTGGCTAAAATTGATACTTCACATCTCAGAATCAAAATGAGACAGGCGTGTGAGGTTTTTTTTTGTAGACAAAATAAAATGGAAGAGGCATGCTGTCGGTAGTACTCTTATCTTTTAAGATTACTGTCGATCGTGATCCATCTGATCATATGACAGAAACGATCATTGCACAATTTACAAATAATCTTCCACAATATAATTCACAAGAGAAAAAAAGCAAAGTCGTTATCATTTATATCGTTTCAGCACTACACCAACATCAAATACATGACGCATGTAAGTGTGGTGCACATAATATAAGCTGTCACGTGAACAAGAGGCATGCGAACATGTTGACTTTGGATTCGACAATACAAGGCAATTACTGCAGGTAATAATTGAATCTTCTTTGTATTGAATATAGTCAAAACCCCGAATAATATCATCAGACACGATACAATAACATTGTATATTTCAGTGTAGAAAGTCGGCGTTCGAATATTACATTCAAGATAATCATCAAAATATACAAGCATTGATATGAAACAGTACTCAGAATACCATCATGAGTGAAATTGTCCATCCATCAGTAATAAATACAATAAACAGGATAGAAGAGATTTTCAACGACTAAAGCGATAAAATAACGTGACGATGCATGATTATGTAAGATAGATGAAGTGAAAATAGTGATGTTGATAATAACAACAACTTCGCACAGTTCGGTATCTGAAAATAAAAACATTTACTCAAATTGAACCATATAAGCTGATACTCTTCCATCATGAATGTAAAAAGGTTATCCTTATTTCCATATTCTTCTAAATGCCAATTTTCTTTCAAATCAAAACTGTTTGTTGTTCCTTAAAAGTAGAGTACTCTGCAGTATTTCATGCAAATTTAAGGATAATATTGAGAAAAATTAACATTTATTAGTGACTCTAAACCATCTAAGAAGAATGTGGAAATGATTTATTTCAGTTAGACAAATACAAATGATTCCGATCAAATCTTCAATATTTCATTGTAGAAAATGAGAGCTCGCATATTTTAGACAATATATAGGTCCGAATCTCTCATATATTCTCTAGACATCTCCATTGAGAGTCTGGAACTAGTACTTAACTAGTTTTGTCTGCGTGCTTGTCTCTCTAAAATATATTTTTTAAACCACTCACTGCTTAATTCTGTACGACATGATTTTTACTTTCTGTATTTTTAGAATTTTTTTGTTCTTATCGTGTTTCTTTTTCAATTTTCTCTTAAGATTCGTTAACGATTGGATACCTGTAGTGTTTTAATTGACTTGTTTATTGCGTCTATTCAGTTCGACAATGTATGGACTTGAACTTTTCTCTGTATACACAACACCCACATTCACACCTCGCTGTTCACTGTCATTCTTACTCTCTTTCTCTTTCTATATACATCTATCTGTTTTAGAAAGAAGAATTAGAATACTGTCGAAATGTGAGATGGATTTGTGTGTATTGAAAATGTTCATCTCATTCAGACCCACAACTTTTTTAAAGACTCAAGATCTGACTTATAAATCAAATTCTGTTTTGATAAAATGCAGTTTGAATTGTTTTGACAAAGAACGAAAAAAAAAGGTTGCGGATGTCCTTTGAAGTTACAAACCCGCACCCACACCTGACCAGACCCACAACCACGTAGACCCATATGCACAGCCACACTCCACCCAAACCCACACCCACATTCCTCATCCAGATATCGCCAGTATCTATAACAACATCGGCCAGGTGCACTACAATTTGGGAGAGTACTCGACAGTACTTCAGTTTTATCAAAAGACGCTTGAAATTGCTCAAACTTCTCTTCCTCCGAATCATTCAAAGTCAGCTATTACCTACACTACTATCTGTTTGGCGCATATCAACATGGGTGACTACTTGCCAACACTCGAGTCCCACCAAAAGACACTAGAAGTCAGACAAAAAGCTCTCCCTTCGAATCATCCAGGTTTGGCTGCTTCCTACCATAACCTCGGCTCGGTATATAGAAACCTAGACCAGTACTCGAAACTATGTTTATTTGATGAGCATGCTGTGGAAATTGAATAAAAAACATTATCTGAAAATCATCCTTCTCTTCAACATTACCGAAAATCACTTGCTGATGTTCGCAAAAACTTGTAATTCGCTTCGATTCCAACGAATAAAGTGGCATTGTGTGTCTGCACGCGCGTACACAGAGACTCTCATTACTGGGCGTAATTGTGTGGGGGTGGGTGATGTGCAGTGTGGATGTATCTATTAACTTTATTTGAAATGACAACCACACCCACCCAAACTAGATGATGATAAACACAGAGTATAAATTTTACTTTATGAGTTGTAGAATTCAAAATCGAGAATTGAATAACAAGCATTAGCATATTTTTATTTTCAATCAGGATTTTGTTGACAAGTACTTCGATTGCTATGAACAAATGTACTTGTTTAATTGGAAATTTTTTGAAAAATTCCTTACGCTTTGTCAAAGACATAATGTAATTGTAAGACTTGACAAGTGTATAACCAAAGTTAATTCATACATTATGAGTTATTTTACATTCAATGGTTTTCAAGTGATTCTGCGCATAGATATGACTAGATTTTTGACATACAGGGATATATTCATAGAAAAGAGAAGAGATAGTAGAACGAAAGCAATAACCGTCTTACAGATCAATATATTCGTCATTTTCCGTTTACACTTTATTGAAATCTTTTATCGTTTGACGATGCAAGAAAATAAAATAGAAAACTAAATTGTATATTAGTCTTCATATCGAAAAACGTTTAACACAGTGCAATAAATTTTCTTGTCTGAGTTCCACATGTGTCTTACGTTGATTATGATTGATAATGCAATGGAGCCGCTTGTATTTGAACATCAGCTGGTCCTGTCGTATTAAATGGATAAAGAGCGTTTCTATATCGTTCATTGTGAACAATGTCGTGTCCACTATTGCTTGATGTTACTCCTTGGGTGGAACTACTTTTCAAAGTTTTGATATATTCTACTATTTTTCGTCGATCTTGATCATCTTCAACTCCGTAACTTTCAAGTGTTTTGTTGTCAATCACAGTAAGAAGACTGGAACCGCTAACGGCTTTCCGAATAAAAATTGCAGCATACTTTGGAAAGGGCTCGCCTAATGAACGTATCCAACGTGAAACATCTACAGGCATCCATTCTTTGGCTCTTTGAAGATCGCAATCTACAAAGTAAGCGAGAAAAATATTAAATTCTATATTCTTACGAAAGCTAAATTTATACCAAAATAAAGTACGGAGGATACTTTTCGGAGACTAATCAATAAGAAATCATGAAAGTTAAGACAAAGTTCAAGAGGTGTCCATGAAATTTCAAACACAAACAGGTTTTTTGCAACGCATAGGATACAAAGCGAATAGAAATGCGACAAAACTATAATTTCGCCAATAATCTATCATTGGGACACTTATTTCTTCACTAATTAGACATTTGTAGGTGCAAATGGTTCCTCATTCGAAAGTTTTATGTCTCAAAGTTCTTAAATAGAATTAGAATCATATTGATTCTTTTCTATCGTATTTCATAGAACTCACAATAATTTGTGCAAATATTCACTGTGCAAGTTGATGAAAACTCATTACGTGGTACGATCATTATCTCAGTGGAAAATGAATTTCAGAACACTGTCAATGCAAGAAATTTTCTTACAATCGATGTTCATCTTGACTAAGAGGATTGAATCTTTGGTTTGGTACAATATATAAGTGCACTACCGATGTAGATGTCGGTGTGTCAACTGTGAATGAATACACATAATCTCAACCAACTTCCAAGCCCACTAGATCCATACACACCCTACACTTGAACATATTATTGATAGATTTGAAAGTGCAAATTATAAACTTAGCAGAGCTATATCGTTGAAAAATGATTATACTGTAAATCACTTATTAAGGTGTAATTTGAAAAATATTTAGAAAAATTTACATTTAGTCGTGATGAAATAGTCACGCGATCTATTTTGAACATTAGGAAAAATTCTTTAAGTGTTATCACGTGAATGTAAAAGTGAAAAAATTCATATGATACTGTTAGAATCAAGTCTTAATGAAATTTCATAAGAATAGAGGTGAATTGGATGCGTAAGATAAATGCACGAAGTAACTTACATATATCTTGATGAGAGACGCTAGTTTTTCTTCGACTCTGCAATGAATTAGATGCTAGTCGATGGGACTGGCTAGATGTGGTATTTGGACTCGCTCTTGCGAGTCCACTCGAAAGTATGACAGATCGTGGTTGTTGATGATCGGTTTTCGGCTGTCTCGATTTTAAAGATAATTTGTGAGTGGAGTTTGAATGTTCAATGCAAGATGCTGAGTTTGGTCTTGGCAATGATACTGTTCTAGTACCAGAACTCGTATTGGAATGATCACCTACTAATGGTCGTGAGTATTGGCTTGAGTTTGCTCTTGTCTTTCTATTCGATTGATGCTTAGGTAGAGAACTTGGGTGTACAGTGATATCTAGTAACTGCTTATGAGAATTGGTTACTTGTTTCTGTCTTGATGACACAGAAGGCATTTGTGGGTTCAAAATCGATTGTGAACCAGCTGATTTATTTGTGAACGTTTTAGAATGTGGAACAGATCTACTTGACTTGACTGCCTTGTTCGAAGATTGTTCATGTTCTAAATTAGACTGTAACAGGTTCTCAGAAACTTGCTGTTGCAACAACGTGGATGAAATATGTTTTGGTGGTTTGCTTGAGGTCAAACGTTTCTGTTCGTCCAAACCGAAATAGTTTTGTCTACTTATCGGAACATGGGACGGCTTGTTTGCTTTTGCCGATAAATGAAAACTTTCCTGCTTAATTTGTCTATATAGTTCTATTGATCGTTGTTCTCTTCTATTATTTTCATTAGCCAAGGTAACCTGTTGTCCTAAGTTTGTATCTACTTGTGTCTTCATCAGTTCTGGATTCTTGTCATTCTCTGAAAGATCGAAACCCATGGGGTTTTTACTACAGTTCTTTGATTTATCGACGGTAGTTACTTTTTCCTTGTTATGATTCGTGAACCATCTATCTCCTTCGTAGATAATACATTTACTCACGCATTCTATAAATTTACTGGCATAAACTGCCTTTAACCATTTCTCCGGTAAGCTATTGTAGCCATAGCATGCGCCAGCAAGTTGACCATAGATAGCTGCCGTTGTGTCAGTATCATCACCAAGATTGACCGCAGCTAGAACACCTTTCTCAAAAGAGTCTTCATCAATCCAGAAGGCCCATAAAGCTGCTTCAAGAGCCGACACAATGTATCCTTTACCACGAATTCCATCTTCATAGCCATTCTTTCGTTTGTATGATCCTTTTGCAATATTTTCGATATCTTTATGAAGAGGTTTGCCGTTGAACCAATCCATACGATCCTTATAAAATTCATTACTTAATAACTGAAATTTGGGAACGCCTCGGACAGCGGCCACGATTAGAGCTCCATAGTAACGGCATGCATCATAAGCTTTTTGATCACCATGAGTAATTTGGCCACTAATACCAGAGTATTCGACGGCTGTTTTGGAGTCCCGTTGAAAGAAGAGTGGAACAGGTGCTAAACGCATGAGAGCTCCATTACCAGCTACTCCTTCATTACTACAAAATGTATCAAAATTTTCTAGTAGATTTTGATCGGATAGAAAATCTAATTGATCGAGAGGAATATTGATCTTTTGAGCCAGAACTTTTTGACGTCTTTCAAATTCATGAATTGACTCACGAGTTGCACTACCAATATCAAAGCAGTGCCCAGTTGATGACATGTATCCGTATTTGTACCACCATTTGTATCGAACTAATTGGTCATAGGGAACGAAATCACAGCGAGCAATGAGTGAATTAGATAGACAAAGAGCCATTGAAGTATCATCGGTGAACTATAGTGAAATGCAAGGCTGATATTTTGAGTAGTTAAAATTAACGATCAAAGATTCAATATTTGACCTAATTATATTGATTCTACCATAGAGCTTTAATTATTCTCTTTCAAGTTTATATGCCTCTTACCTGCCCTTTACTTAGACCCCACGTTCCGCCACTTTCAAGATCGATAACTGGATTAGCAATTAAATAATCACGAGGTCGAAATTCAACATGAGCACCAAGAGCATCTCCCAAGGTCATACCAAAAAATGAACCTTGAACACGATTCAACAGCTGATCGTCAATCTTTTTCGACGGATTTTCTAATTGTATTTCAAGTTCATCAGGCTTCTTGATCAATTGACGGTCCGTATCATGAAATTGTAAATCGAGCCACTTTTTTTCTAAAAGCACACAAAACGAAATATTCTTCGATAAATGAATATAAAAAAGTTATTAAGAGACGGTCCATGCGACCATCAAGGACCATACTAGATATCGAAGCACTCGTCAAAATTTAGTTTCTGCATTTGATGTTCTCATTTGATATCATCTTAATCCTCTAAGTCCAAATTTTTAGTGCATTTCGTTGAGCTGGTGAAAAGTTAGCCTGGTTCAACTTTTGAGCGCTGGCGAGACAATTTTACAAATATCTTAAAAAAACGTCAATATGTAGTTGAGTCAGTTTTAATAACTATAATTTAGCAAAAGTAGTAATATAATATATTAGAAGATAGAGCGTGAAAAGCTGAACAATACGAAGTATTTACATATTATTTTTCAATGAACTAAACTGATTTTATTGGTTAAATACTGTCTATGACTGTTTATTTTTCGAATGAAAAATAAGTCGATTTTTTTCATTATTTCAGCTACCCTTCAGTCATTTTATGAGACCTCAAGTTGATTTTGAAATATGTATGTTGTGCAGCTTTTTCTCCTCTACAAAATGGTTATAAAAAAATTTTTAAATGGGTGGACAGGGGTGAAAAAAGGTTTTACAATGTTGATAAAATTGCACAGCATTTATGGTGAAAATTTACTGTGGACACTTTTATCTGTTGAAAAATAGAATTTCGAATAGCTATGAAATATTCAGCGGATTTCACATATAAGCAGGAATTTTTTCAAGCATAAAAGTTCTTTAAAACATACTGAATTAGCATTTATTTCCTACTACAGACATAATATCGATCAGTTAAAGTTATATAGTCATAACAAGTTGTGAAAAAGATAAAAGCCAGTGATGTACACCATCTAAGGTCATATTATTCTAATGTCACGTAAATACTTGCTCAAGTGTATAGTTAGACAAATTCGAAGATAAATATCGGCAGTAAGAAAGAATTTTTGATAGAAACACGTGTATTGGATTGTTACAGTGTATTCTCATAAGATATACCTCGATCCTCTCTATTCTCTTCTCTTTGATATTTTCGTTTCTGTCTTTTCGTTTCTTTAACTTTTTTTCTTTATCCTTGATTTACCTTTGTCTTCTTTTCTATTTTGTCCATGTTTTTCATGTGCGTATATAAACTCTTGTTTTGTAAAAGAATAAATCGAGAGAATAACCTACACACACACGTTAACTGTGTTCGTCGCTCTTCGTGAGCGCGAACGCTAGCATGGATATTGTAGTATATTCTACTTATTCAAAAATTATGAATGTTTGCTGAATGACAGGTTTTCTGAGAAACGTCCTTCCTCTTGAAAACAGGATGTGCTGTACGTGCTGAAGAGGAGGAACGCGGAAAAGGTTCTTCTGATCCGTGGCCAACAATTCTGCACTTCTCGTATAA